GCATATATATATATATATATATATATATATATATGTATATATAAATTATCTGACGCAGTAAATTACACAGTAGATTCGGGAGTAGAAGCCAGCTTATATTTCCTATATATTAATGTTATACTGTTGCCATCGTCATTAGCTACCTCGTCCTGTATATGGAAAAGTGAAAAATTTTTATCATTTTTCGCCATCTGCATTTCTTTCATCGAATTCCCATCATTATGTGATGCTGCACATGCTTCGCGTTGCGCACTGCAATTCTCCGCCTAAAAATCTACCAACATCCCAAAGTTATTTAATCAATGAAAAATTATGCATGCCTATCAACATACTTTTTTGACGTCGCAATCTAGTCCTAAACTTTGCATCGATTCGAAACATACCATAAAATGATAAAGAGTGCACGAAGCTCTCGATATTATTGAAATTCAGTTAAACGCCATGTCCGGTTATTTTGAACTCTAGCGAACAAAGGGCGACAGATTACGCAACAGGCAGTGGCACAGCTTCATGCCCCTTGTTGAACAGCGTGTTTGTAATTGACATTGCCTATGTTTTGCGGATAAAATGGTTCAACGTGTTCCAATACTGATTCAGAAAAACAAAAGTCTATACCACTGCTTATTCCCTTCCTCACTCCCAGGTTATAGTAAGATTTCGGCTGAGAGGGAAAGGTAATTTTCCCATTTCAGCCAATTCATGCATGACCATATCGAAGACGAATTTATTCACAAAATTTCAAAAGCGCATTCAAAGCGTAACAACAACAGCAACTGTTGATTGAATAGTTTGACGTACCTTGTGATTCTCGTCAGAAGTACCGAATTTTAAATCCTTTGTCTTTCCTGAGAGCGAAATATTCGTTTGGGAATTGGTCTTCTCAGTTATGGATGGCATTAGCGCATCGACGGCTTGTGATATGACAGGCATTTCACTTGCTTCCACAGATCTGCACAGCAGTTCTGAAAAATAAAAACGCCTGTGGAGAATAGTTTCCCGGCAGCTGTTCCCCTATTATACAAGCATGCTCATACTTAGCCACCATTTGTCCCAAATACAAACTGAGGGTGAAAAAATTGTTTTTTTCTTTCCAAATTTTGTGACTCGAAATCTTGAACATAACAGCTCGCCCCACAGACAGTTTTCGTGACCTGAAAGTCAGTTTATGGCCCGCGAACCAATTTTAACTATTTGGATCTCTATTCTGCAACATAAGTTGTGTTTTGAAAACATTCAGAACTTGCTACAGTTTCGATGTGTATGACTGAGAAAGCAAACAGGGAATGTACGAGGAAGGATGTGACTGGGGACGTGAGGCAAAGGAAGAGGGATATCCGTATGGGAAAGCTCACTTCTATCGGCAATTACAAAAACTCAGCTCGGCTCGCCCAGTGGTCAGAAAGCGCTCTAGCGTCTCTGCCAACGCTGTTTCGCAGCGAACCACTTAGCGCTTTGTCAGAGGCGCAGAGTGGCACTACCTTGCGTTTGGCGGCTGGGTCTCGTGATTGGAGGAGTGGCGGGCGGAAGGGTTGGACGTGGTTGGGAGGTGCTGGTTGATAAGTGCCCAGATACAGCTCAGAGTGCACTGCTGGGGCTAGGAGAATGAAGGTGCTGGTTAGGAGTTCAGGACGATAAACGGTGGCAGCGGTTGGGGATGACGGGTAATGAGTGCCCTGACGCAGCTCTGGAGGCAGGGATTGGGGACAGGACGGAGGAGAGGAACAAATGCACTGTTCAGGAGTTCGAGGTAAGAACTTTAAAGAGCAGTAAAGGGAAAATAAGTCAACACAGCATCACAAAGAAAAGAAAATTAAAACAAACCTGAACTTATGAATAAAAGAAAGAAAAGCGAAACCAAAGAAGTGGAGCCTGTGAACAAAAGCAAAAAAGCAAAAGCGCATAAAGCTAAGCTTACGCGACTAGGAAACGTCTTAGAAAAACCCCGTTTTTAGTAAGCAATTTCCGTATTTGTGAAGCTTATGCTAGTTGAAGCTGAGGGCACATAAGTTCGATTGCGTTTAAATAACCTAGGCTGGAACGCACCAGGCTTGCCGATGCGATCATGCGTTTTTGCACTAAACTTGCAGGTCGCTAATAGCAGGAATAAACTCTGCGTTTTAGCCTAACACTTGGGCTCATATTGGCTATGCTTTGACTCTTTCCGGCATGCAGGAGGAAGGACATCGGTTGAGGTGAAGGTGGTGCACTATAGAGCCGCACGGACCCCCCAGATATATGATTACCAATTTTTTGCATGAAGCTCGGTCGTTTTTTTCGGCAAATGCTCGCTTTTCGAAGAAATGAAAAATGCAAATTTTTCGAAAAAATGCAAATTTCCAGTTCACTAAAAAGTGGAAGTATTGCTCGAGCGGTTGTTTGTCAAAAAATCCAAGTATACAAGTGAAATAATGTTCATTTACATATTTGGATGAGGGCGGTCACTTGTTGCAAAACGCACTCGTTTCTGATTTTTCGGTAAATCTGAGTATTTATCATGCCTACGTACAGGGAATTTCAACTCTATGCAGGATTAACACCGCACTTGGAAGTAGAATACCCCAGTTTGCAAACTTTGACGTGGCCGTACGCGCTGCACAAGCGTGCATGGTAGCTGAATTTGAAATCTTTAGCTCGCACATGCATAAAGAATATCTCTGCAAATTTACAGCTTTGTACTTTGCCCGGCTCGCGAAATCGTTTTCCACCAAAGAAATTTGCATATTTTTTTTCGGAGATCCGTACGCGGGGTCTAGGCGCGTGTAGAGATCTTAAAACGGAAGGGTGACGCACGGGATAGGAACATATACCCAAAATTTCTGTCTCTCAGCTCTCCTGACTGCTGAGATGAAAGTGGGTGACAAAATGCACTC